ATCCAATGTTGCAACATCTGAGGCTGAAGTCCCTGGGTGAGGGGAGAACATCAGCTCTGGGAGTTGTGAACAGCGCCGATGCAGCTGTGCAGGACATTGCAATTACAGATGCATGGCCCGAGGGCCGCTTGTAATTCACTGTTATTGTGTGCAATTGGGCCCTGCAGGAAGCCGGTTCCAGAAACTTCTCCAGAGTCACGGCAAAGTTGGCGAAGATGAAGGGGTCTGCGAAATCTAGAAATGCCAATCGAGACTTGCAACGGTTTGTGAAGCTGCCCATAGCAACCCGCCTGCACTCCAGAATGCCGTGACTGTAAGTTTTAATCGGTATTTATCACTAGATCGGGTAGGAGACATAACTCGAAGACACTCCTGACACCCATTGCGGTATGCCAAGCGTTTGGAAGAATTCCAGTCGTCTGGATTCTGAAACCTGAATCGCCCAAATATATTCGCATTAAACTGCCACTATACTCCTATACCCCGGCTTGTTCTCCTATACTCGTAGACTCCTCTACTCCTATAACTACTCCTGTACTCCTGCTGCCGCTCCAAGACCCGGTCCCTCGCACTGCAGGCTATGAGCTACGTAGAAGTACCGCTACTTCATGAGACCGACCCTTCCCGGGACAAGAGGGTGATGAGCAAGCTACCGTTCCTGGACCCTCACGAGCTCCTGAACTACTTGGTCTCCACCGGCCGCGTGACCATCGATGCAAACGAGATCAAGCAACTAAGCAGCACATGCACATGTACTATACGATCACAGCAGTACTGCCTGCATGTACTACTGTTGAGGAAGTTTTGGGAACACTTTCGTCGGCTGGACTGTGAGTGGGCTGTCAAGCACCCGGCGGATGAAACGGCGATTCCTATATCAGAACCACTATTCCGCAAGAAGAAGCTTCTAATGTTAAGGGTTTAGGTTTATATTCGAGTGTAGTGTAACATTTAATTTTCTGGATGCAAGTGTGTACATGTACCAGGTATACGGTGACACGGCGCAGTTTACAAATGAGAACGACAAGTTCACCGCGCTTCTGCTTGGGTTTCCTTTGTGGCGACCTAAAGGCCAGATTATCGTAGAAAAATCAGAGCAAAATATTATAAGTTAGGGGCAATATAGATTAGGGTTTTTTTTCGATCGCTCGGCCCTCCTTCAGGGCGCCCTTTCCTGAAGACCTTCCTGTTCTTCGTGTTGAACTCGCTACGAAGCTGTGGAGTCGAAGCTTGCATGCAAACATCAGTACTGTGTGCTAATTATACAGTCGACGTTCGCATCGCATATCGATGAGGACACAATGCGCCCAGTCTACAAGCGCACCCTCTGGTCGTTGACCTTGGCGTTCCAGGGCATACGACCGCGAAAAGGCCCGAGTGGCGAGGAACTGCCTAACTCTAGACGACAACGAGCGAATAAGCTTCAAGGGCGTTTCGCTGTGGTGCTGTTCAAAGGGGACTGGGACTGGCACTTGACCCAATGGCAAATGGCGGCTTCCTGGAAGTCGCCTACTCGCATTTGCCATCTTTGTGTCGCGACGAAGGTATCCAAGCATGGCCATGGATTTTGTGACTTCGGAGCCAATTTCCAACGCCGCACAGTGGCAGACTTTCTGAGCCTGCTTCACCAGCCACTGGCGTGTGATCTGGTACATGTACCAGGCTTCAACCACCAGATGATCCGATTCTGTGCTATGCACGCTCTCGCCCTGGGTGTGTACCAATCCTTGGCAGCAGACACGTTGTTATGGATGTGTCAGCACAACGCTTTCGGTACAAGCAGCGCCGACCTGGATGTTCAACTGCAACATGCATTCGAAGCGTTTAAGCTCTGGATGAAGAGGTCAGGTGTGTATTGCTCGGGCCGCAAGTTCACGAGCAAGCGGCTCCATGTCTGTGACATCGACTACCCGTGGCTTGCCTATAAGGCATTTAATTGCCGTGTGGTGATTGCATTCTTGGCTGACGCTTGGCGGTATTATTCGATCCATATGCATATTCAAAAATTAAGCCATAAGCCCTGCGAGCTAGCAAGGGCTCTACGCCCGAAACCCAGCAGGCACATTTGCTGAGCTCGGAGACGCAAGCAACGATGTCTGGCAACCTGCCTGCTGGGGACCGTCGTCTGCATCATCTCATTTGCAGCTGCGCTCCAGATGCACGTGTATACCACTGTATACCTTGCACATGATCGATTTCGCTCGGCTGTAGGTTCGAGATCAGCGAGTTCCAGAACGACATGGAGAACATGGGTCAGCTGTTGACCCTCGAGCAGTCGGTGCAACTTGACCGAAGAGGCTCGGACCCTGCTTCACAAATCCAATCCGGTGGCATCGCATATAATGATCTATTATGCTGGTCCGGATCCTTTCAGTCTTAAGATTCAGGCCACCGCTTCCTCGTCTTCTACAGGGAGGCATCAATGATTTTTGCCCAGCGGGGCTTGCTTCGCTTCTTCATTCGGCCAAAGCTTCATGCATCTTGATTGATATTAGTATGCAGGACGTAACCCTGCTGGTACAAGTACGTGGCATGTGTGGCATTGAGGCTTTTGACGAAATGCTGACTTCGATTCGTGTAGAGAGCCACTGAGCTGCAAGATAGCAGCCGTCGTGGTACTTACTCGCATTCTGATGGATTTGTGCTACCTACACAACTAAGGACTGAACCCGAGGCACTATCAGTGCTACAGTGAAGAAGATATGCTGGGTTTATTGAAGCCGACAGCGCAGAAATGCGTCGTCGGAAATTTCGAATCGAACATGATTCGGCGCTATCTGATCAGGCCTCTTCGAGCAGCTGTACATGTTGAGCCGGTTTAGGGTCTTTCGAGTTGTTTATTTTTTCGAAACTTAGGAACTTAGGACCGGGATTTAAGGGTCCGAAATATAATAAAGCCCTGCAGGCTGATGGTGGAGAAACCTCGTGACCTTGCAATGCATGCGAAGGGCAGGTGAAATCGAGGTAGCTATAGATTCGCTGATCGAGCCGTTGCGACCGGCGTGGAGCGCGCTGCTCATGTCACAAAGCTTGGGTACGAAGCGAAGCCCCTGCAGCCCTCAGCCTAAAGACGAAGCCCTTACAGTATGGAGCGGTGTGCAAATCGATCGTCCAAATAGTTATTTAGGGGGCGTATACGGTTTAGGGTATGGTACTGTTCCCAAGCCGTATTCGGCCCAAAGCGTCTAGGTACGCAAAAGCATCGACTCTGCCCATAAGCCCCTAAACCCCCAAGACTCCAAACTCCGAAAGCAAGATTGCTTGCATGATTGGGTGTAGGGGTTTAGGGGTTTAGGGTTATTAAATGGCCGGTTTGATTCGATGCTCCACAGTTGGACGCGGACACTGGAGGCCTTCCCAAACCTTGAAACCCTTAAGCCTTAAACCGTTAGCCCCCAGACCCCTAATAAACCCTTAAGCCCTTCTTATACACCCTTAAACCCCTAAGCCCCAACTCCTTTTAAGTACACAACTCGTCGCAAGATGCAATTTGCAGTAACACTATTCCTCGCCTCAAGAGCCCATGACAAGCTAAAGACTTGAAGCCTGAAAGTGACCCCATCCCATCTTAAAACAAGTCGTTCTCAGTCTCCCTGTCTCTCTCTCTTTGGCTTTGTGGGTTGGGTTTGCCGGGCTCTGGCTGTGCAGGCCTTTTCTGAGGTTCAGGGTCTTTCCTTCGGAGGGTCGTTCTGAATGTTAAAGATGTTGAGGTGTTGGGCGTAGGGTCTTGTGTATATTGATTTTGCTTTTATCCTCTTTCTCTCTCTCCCCCTCTCTCTCTCTCTCTCTCTCTCTCTCTCTCTCTCCCCCTCTCTCTCTCTCCCACTTGCTACGGAGACGTGGAAAGCACATGACAGTGCACCTTGAAAACCAGAACAGAAATTCCTAGTTAATATAAATAAATATATATATATATATATATTAAGTAGGAATTCTGTTCTGGTTTTCAAGGTGCACATATATATATATATATATGTATATACATAAATATATATAGATATATATTCCCATCGAAGCTCCAAGCACAAGAGCCTTTATAATCTGAAATACCGAGTAGGCCCCTAAAACACCTTATGAACCTTAAACTCAGGCTCAAAATGGGCTCACAACTTGTTGGCTCGAGTGTTGGTTTGACTAGGTGTCGGCCCAAGTACTGGCATATCGATACTTTGAAGCTGCTACGTGGCTTCTTATATAGCCTGCATCTCCAAGCTCTTGAAACGGGTCCAGAAAAATCAGACGAATTACGATAAAGATCAGCGGATTCTAGCCTACCACAAGTTTCCGCGATCGTCACAGTCGCATCGCTATAAATTTATGTGGTTTGGCCGCTTTATACAGCTGGGGGGGAGATGACAACTTGTTAGCAGATGATCCTGCAATGTTTTTTGCAAACACATCGCTGATTCTTTCAGTGTTAACACGATCGGTGCATGTGTTCTGCAACATGACCTGTTTGTTACACAGATGCTATTGTGTGGTTTGGACCCACCCTCGGTTCCAAGAAATTTCCGGTTCCCAGAAAACCGGGGCCATAGGCCTATGGCCCGAGAAACCGGGGCCATGACAACCAGTTCCTCCCCACAGGGGTCTTAGGAAGCCCTGGGTCTTCTATCATAAACTCCCTAAGCCCTCTACATACAAGACCCTAAATCTCCCTCTTGGGAGATTAGAGCACGAAGCCCCCTACCAGGACATCTTGCGTTACTCTGCAAAGTTAAGATTCGGTACCCTAGTGGCCTGAGACATCTCAACATCCGCAAGAGCAGCCACTGGCATTTGGTCTCGCGTGTGTGTTTGATTTCGAGCAACGCATTAAGAAACAGGCAGGGTTGGCCAAAGGCCTTATAAGCCCGGAGCCTAACAGTATAAGCCTGCAAAACTCTCAAATACCTTCTATCTATCAACAATGAAAACTTCGACAATCCTAAACGCCCTGAGCCCTAAGTAAATCTAGATACCCTGAAACCTACATGTTGGGCAAAGCCTACAGCGTGAAGGAGCAGACGCTGATGAAGTTTCCTGGCTAGCCCTCGGTTTCGGGATGTGTCGTGTGTAAGTCGTCTACGTAAGCTTGGGAATTGGGGCCCAAGGGTCCCGGATTCAACATGAGAGGTTTAGGGTTTAGGGTTTAGGGTTTAGAGATCTGAAAGAGCTAGGTTCTCGTCTTTCAGCGACCACTCGCGGTTCGGGTTTGGGGCGATCTTCATCTTAATGGTTTTGTCTGGAGGGCTAACGCCGTTCTTTTGCATTCCCTTTTCGGCTAGTGGTTTCGGAGAACTCCTGTGTAATTGTATATGCAACGACGGAGGCATTATTCCAATATGGTTTGTCGTCCGCAATTCTGCCTGCTGCAGCATGCAAAGATTGCAGAGAAGGTCGACAGCATACGGTAGTAACGTCCAACTCGCTAAACCTCGGACACAAGGTGATGCCATGGCGACGTCTGTTCGAACACTTTGAAGGAGCTTTGCTGTGCTGAGCAGTCTGCTCTGGGCTGACTGATGTTGGCCATCCGGAGACCCAAGCCGGCGATTCACGAACTTGGCTTCAAGGGAGCCAGGGTATACAGAAGTATATCATGTGTGTATATTTCTGTATGGATTTATCTCTCTTCCCGCGCATCTCCCTCAGTGGTCCCACGAGACATTCCAGATGCCACCCTAAGCCCTACGAATTTGTCACCGAGGTTTGGAGAAGTGGACCAGGCAATGAACATCCTCCATGCAAACTGCGCCGCAGTACAGCAGAACATGCAGGCACATGAGCCCAAAGTGCTCAATATCCGCTATATAAAAATGGAGATCATAGCTTACACAATGGAGGGTTTCTTGTAATTTGCGCGGAAAGGAATACTCCAACATTTCCGGGTAGGGGCTCTTCGAGTGAGGGCCCGCACCTGTGTAGGCTTCACAAATGACGAGACAAGCGGCTTCCGGATTTGTGTTCAGGTGTTCGAGTGCGATTCGGGAGTGAGATGAACCTTAACAGTGCGGGTGTCTTCTTTTGCCTATATATCATGTTTCCAGGACGTTGTTGAAAGTCACTTGATCAGTGACAGTGAGGGATAGCCATTCGGGGCGAGGGTAGAAGCAATCCTGGGTTCCTTTAGGACTTTAGGGCCTTTAGGGTTCGTGGCCAATGGCATCTTGTTGGTGTCGTCTCACAGTTTATAGAGTTTTGAATCGGTAAGAACCCTGCGAAAGGTGGGGTATGGCCCATGGCAGGTCGAGGCGGGTACAGTGAGGCACAGACAAGGGTTTTACAAGTAGGAATCCCTCTTACGGAGGTCTTTGCAAGCAGCCTCTGCTTCCTCGCCGAGCCATTAGCCTGCACTGGCAACTTACCAAGGTTTGGTACGGAACGCCTTAAACGTTCTAAACTCAATGCTCGAAGAATCCAGGTCCCCATCAGATCCCTCGAGCTTCAAGCAGTCGTATGACACTCTCCTGAAAGAAGCCTTTGGTGGGTAACGTTCTCAACATGTATCGCAAACCCCTGGCCCGTAAACCCCAACCCTGCACCTGAACCCTCTACCCCGCCCCACATCTTAAAGCACGCCGATGAGAACTTTCGAGGCAGTGGACAAAATTTCACAAGATCTCCGAAAGGAGGCAGGGTGTGTTTCTGCATCTCGCACGTCCCACATTCATCGTTAACGATGAGAAGGCCTTGAATGATATAAGGAGAGACAGGACCTAGGGCAGGGTCATAATATCGATACCAAGAGCTTTCTTACCAACGAACGGTTCATGTTCAAATGCTGAGAATATGCTAGATTAGAAGTTGACAAAGAGGCCAAGGCTTTGGGTTCAAGGTTTAGGGTTCTGCTCGCACCTCGACTTGCCCACTGTAGTTAGTCGGTATCGTTAAGTACCCGTTTGTGGCAAAGCCCTCACAGAGCAGAGAAGGCTCAAACTTCACAGCAGTAGTCAACGACAGCCGCGGGCCTCCGACTTAGGGTTTAGGGGTTTAGGGTTTGGGGTTTAGAGTTCCAGGTTTTAGGGTTTAGGGTTCAGGGGTTCTTGTTTTGGTTTTTTTAGCTTAGTGTTGGAGAGTTTGGAGTTTAGAGCTGAAGCCGTTCCCTATGCCTCCAGGGACCTTATTATGGGGTCCTACAGGGGTCTAGGGCCGTAACTATGAGGTCCTTGGAGGGATAGGGTTTAGCTTTGGGGATTGGAATGAGATCATTTAGTCTGATATTGCGCCTCCGCAACCCTTATTGAATCCAAAAGCCTGCACCTGAACAAGCTTCAACTCTCGGAAGCGCGTAAGAGTACTAAGAGATTTTTCAGGGACCCTACACCCGCAACCTCAGAATCCAGCCCGAAATTTCAATCCCCAGAATCCTTACAACGCCTTAAACCCCCCAAGTTCCAAAACCCTAAAACCCCCAAGTCCCCTAAACCCCTAAACCCTGAACGGCTAAGCCCGAAACCCCTAAACCCCTAAGCCCTAAACGACTAAGCCCGAAACCCCTAAACCCCTAAGCCCTAAACGACTAAGCCCGAAACCCCTAAACCCCTAAGCCCTAAACGACTAAGCCCGAAACCCCTAAACCCCTAAGCCCTAAACGACTAAGCCCGAAACCCCTAAACCCCTAAGCCCTAAACGACTAAGCCCGAAACCCCTAAACCCCTAAGCCCTAAACGACTAAGCCCGAAACCCCTAAACCCCTAAGCCCTAAACGACTAAGCCCGAAACCCCTAAACCCCTAAGCCCTAAACGACTAAGCCCGAAACCCCTAAACCCCTAAGCCCTAAACGACTAAGCCCGAAACCCCTAAACCCCTAAGCCCTAAACGACTAAGCCCGAAACCCCTAAACCCCTAAGCCCTAAACGACTAAGCCCGAAACCCCTAAACCCCTAAGCCCTAAACGACTAAGCCCGAAACCCCTAAACCCCTAAGCCCTAAACGACTAAGCCCGAAACCCCTAAACCCCTAAGCCCTAAACGACTAAGCCCGAAACCCCTAAACCCCTAAGCCCTAAACGACTAAGCCCGAAACCCCTAAACCCCTAAGCCCTAAACGACTAAGCCCGAAACCCCTAAACCCCTAAGCCCTAAACGACTAAGCCCGAAACCCCTAAACCCCTAAGCCCTAAACGACTAAGCCCGAAACCCCTAAACCCCTAAGCCCTAAACCCCTATATAAACCCCAACATCCCTAAAGCACTTACGGCTTTTCGGGCCCCAAAGCCCTTCCTAAACCTGAAACCCAAACGCTAGATCTTCTAAACCCTAACCCTAAGGCTCAAATTAGCCTGAACGCCTTCTATATATATATATATATATATATATATATGTAGTATGGTCTTTGGGCCCAAAAGCCTTAATAGATGAGTCCTTAGAGCCTTAGTAAAGGGCCCCACGGAGCAGGTTTCAGACTTCGGTGAGAAGTCGGCGAGTGAGATGGACCATCTCAAGGACCCCAGACTGATCCCAAACTGGGTTCTTGAGTAATGTAGGAACCTGATTAAGAAACCTTGGGCCTTTATTCAGGCTCCGTTAAAGGGGTCTATAAGAGATACTATATAAGGGATCGATAATAAGGGTACTGTAATAATGTAGGAACCTGATTAAGAAACCTTGGGCCTTTATTCGGGTCCTTTATATGAACCTATTATTTTATGGGGTTATAGGCCCAGGGTTTCTTAATCAGCTTCCCACATTACCATACTTGTGTTCCTAAAGGAGCCATTGTGAAACAGTAGTCCATGCTTGTTTCTCCCTGCTTACTTCAAAGCCCCACCAAGGGTCCCAGCTACTGTAATGGGGGAAACTTGCCCAACTGACTCACAATAGTAATTCCTACTATGGGACCCTACTTTCCATTATTTCAACTACCTCGGGCCCTTTGGGGATAGGTTGCTTTGGACTTTTCGGCTTTCTTTCAAGGGGACCTACAAGGGATCTATGGAGGGCTTGTGGGGATAGCTGCAAATGGCTTGGCTAGTGTTATTGGTAGCTGTAGTGCTGCCAGTAGTCTTTCAGTTTGGAGTATCTAGTGATCAATGTAAAAACGTGCTTCTGTCTACGTGGCCATTTTGTTTTTCTGAGGTGTCGTTCAAGAAAGCAACGTTTTCGTTTGCTTGCCTTGGAGCCTTGGTGTCTAGAGTCCATAACCCGCAGAGTTCTGTCAACTACATAGTTTGTACTTGGGCACGAATGGGGCTCCTTTACAGGCACTTCCAGACCGAAGTATATGCTTCATAGGTGCATGGACCTTAGGGTAAGAATTTTGTCCTGTTTCGTTTTGAGATGTCATGCACTAGAGCCTGTTGTGTTTGAGTGTCGAGGATGTAGGTTTAAGAAGGTCTTCTAGGTCTTTACGGCATAGGCTATTTGGGTCTATGGTCTCGTGTTCAATGCGTTTCACGCCGCTCCGAAGCATCAGCGCGGCTCTGTGGACGGCTCAATGTTAACTTATCAGGCTCATGTATGGAATTTCTGGGCTTGCCGGGCTACCCTGCACAGTTGCTCCTGCGAGGCGTTGAATTTGAGCACAGTGGCCCCGCTGGTCAGCCCATTCGAGTACGCCCATTTTACCCGACGCTCGACACCAACAACCCGGGTATCAAAGTTGAAGCTGTTTGCAGGTTTGTCGGCTTCGAATGTGCTGAGTGGAGTGTCGCGATGCCAGGCTGTCAAGGGTTGTGGGCTTTAGTTTAAAGCATGGTTTGAAACCCTGCGCCTCAAAGCTTTCGGCAAGCGATGCCTATAGCCACAGCCCTAAAGCCTAAACCCTACAAGTATTCGCTGTTTTGCTTCGCAACACGAGGGATTCTGGTTTCGCATCGTGCCACAAAACACCCGAAAATCCGAGCAAGCACGCCCTCAGGGTCCTAAAGCCTTCATCGTGCAAGTCCGAGTACATGACTACTGGACACTGGTTCTTCAGATAAAGGAAAAGTTCAAGCCCTCCGTGCTTCGGCATGTATAATCGTCTGCGTCCCGCGAGCGTGTTCAAGAACGTGTGAGTTGAAAGTTGAGCTCCGTTCCCAAAATTCCTCTTCCCAGAACCCTGTCAGGCTGCAGCCGAAGCCTTGTAAAACTTTGCAACAGCGAGCGTGTTGTAGAACGTGTGAGTTGCGAATTTGGCTCTTTTGCCCAAGTTCCCCTTCCCAGACGACTGCAGCCGAAACCTTGCGATCGCAGCACTCTGTCTGTCGCAGAACAGCTGAGTTGACAGCTGCAAGTTGCTTGCGCTTCTTTCCTTTCCAATTGCAACCAGCCGTCAAGCTGGTAAGATCCATGCCGCTCGCGCACCGGCTTCGCGGGCCCCAAGCGCTTGGCTTGCTCGCAGTGCGCCTCTTTGTGGTTTCTAGGGCGCAGCAACGGCCGTCTTCTGGGCAGAGAGGCAAGCATGTGCTGTTGTGTTTCGTGCAAGCACTTCCCTTGCGGCGTGTTCCCGCCTGTGAATTATGATGCACTTGTTCGCGTCATCCTACGGCAGAGCACGCATGCCGACGATCGCGTCCGTGCCACCGGTACAGGCCTGCGGCTTCATGCCTGCAGGATGATAAATCGCCCGTGCTACCGCGGCAACCGTTGCATCCAGGGGACTCCGTTGCCACACAGCGAAAGCCTTCGAGAGACTGAAAAGCCTACAAGGTATACGGTCCGAAAACCGGGCACGTCGGAACAAATCACCCAAAGCCAAAACTACCAGTTCACACGAACCTTAAACCGATGCTAGATCCCAGACCCAGACCTAACAGAATCGTAGCCCTCCAGCCCCCCATCAAAACCATGGAGCCTTACAAATTTCTGGACCGACGAAGCCCGAAACCTGCAGACTCTTGCCACTTAAATGGCCCAAAACCCCTGTTTAAAGTTTAAACCCAAAGCGCTAACCCAGAACAAGGCCGTAAGCCCAAAGGTTTATCCCACAAGCCATTTAAGCTAAACCCTAAAACTTCTCAACCGATGAACCTTAGATCCCCGGAGTCCTAAATGCTACAACCCCTTATAAACCCTAAACCCCTAAACGCCCTTCAAACCGTAAGCCCCCCAGAAGCTTCCAGGAGCTTCGGAAAGTCGAAGCTGAGCGTCTCCACCGGACGGAGGCTGCTCCAACGTCTGATTTATAGTTGGAGGATCATGGGGCTTAGTAAGTAGGGTTATCAGTACCTTAATTAAGGATATATGTACTTATAAGTGTAGTTACCTTTGGCAGTAGGGTTCTGAAATGTTTGGCAAAAGGTTCCCGAAGTCAATTTCGCGTTTTATTTGCCTTTGGTGGTCTCTAATCTAAGGGCGGCAAAAAGTATACGGCGCTATGAAGGCACATGAAACGTTAGGGGTCTTAATAATTAGTTCGCAGGGGTGTGTTGGTAGTGATGTAGTCTTTACCCAGGGTTTATATGAGCCCACTCGCGATGTTGATGTGGTTGCCGCCTTGTTCTTTGATCGGAGAAGTAGACGGTGTCGTGGTTCGTCGGTAGGTTGAATCAACTTGAAGTTACGGCTTACAGCTGCTTGTCACAAGGGCTTTTAGGACTTACATGCGTATGGCCGAACTGATGTATGAATTTTGGGACAGATTTGGCGGCATCTATAGGCCTTGCGCACGTAGGGTTTCTGGTCTTTATGTTCGCTTCAAGGCAATGGGCATTTGTGGGTTCATCGGGTTTGTATGATCGAGGTTGTTGGGGCCGAGTCTGAGTCAGGATTTAATATCAGGGTTTGGGAATTAGGTTCGCCGGTATATAAGTTATTGGGATTCCATTGTTGTTGGGATTTGGCGTCGTCGCTGGGTTCAGAGTGCCTGAGCTGGGCAACAAGTTCCCCCCCCTTCAGTCGCCCACCCTGTACACATGCTGTCAAGTTAAGTTTCCAAGACCCATGTGTATAAGAGGGTCGATGTACCCATACAGAATGTTTGGCCGTACGAGTATCTATATACAGGTGGCGCGAAATTACGTTGCAGAATTCTGAGACTGCAGTTCGAAAGGCGCGGCTAGGATTTCAGGTGCGGAGATTACGTTCAAAATGCACGTAACCACAACTCATGTTGTTGGCCAGGTGCAGATTGCGACGCTCCAGAAGTGGTCGCCTTATGCGGTATCGATGGGCTCAAGGGCTCAGGTTTTGGAGTGTAAGACCCAAAACACGGTGTCGGGGCAGCATGCTTTAGCCGATTCCGTGCCATGTAGCGAGGGTGTAACCTCAACACCACGGCTAGAAGCTGGCTCTGGGTCTTGTGTCTTCAGCATGCAGAGCTAAGCCAAACGGCATCACCACAAAGTTTTGCATCTGCGGCTTTCCGTAGGTTGAAAATTAGCCCTAAACCCACAACGGCAATCCCTAAACCCCTGTAGACCCCTCAAACCCTAAAGGCCAGACTTGTTCACCCCCACACTGTTTTTTTGCAAGAAAAGCGCTCCGCATCCTTCAATTTCAAGCTTTGACATGGAGGTTTGTCACGAAGTGTCCCGCCTGTCCACAGCGTTGTAGTATGATAAATTACTATAAAAGCTAATCTGAAGCCCCCAGACCCCGGCGAGCTTCACTGCCAACCTGAGGAACATGCAGAGCGCTAGCAACAAGATAGCGGCGTGCCTCGGCTGGGTTTTTGCATCCCCATAGAGATCCAGGTATCTCGTAGTATATACTGAGCCCTTAAAAAGGGGCTCCTTTAGAATAAGAATGTTAAAGCAGAAGCCATGCAGGTGCATGGAATCTTGGGATCATGGTTTGAGGGTGCCGACTCGAGGTTTCTTCCTTTCGATGTTGCGTTTCATCATACTGGCGGTTCTGTGGCTCATGGCTGTTAGGCTTTCGATTCGGTGGATGTTTGATTTTCAGTGTGAGTATTGCAGTATTGCTTTCCATCACAGTGTTGCATGGCGGTATGTTCAACTTATATCAAGACTATAACAATAAGAGGAAGGAGAACATCCGCTGACGACTTCAGGCTCAGCTCGGCGCGTGGCGTATCCCCCTTAGGCCGGGGTGCGTCGCCACAGCGGCGGGCTGCCACGCCCTCGCAGCCGTCGGAGGAGAAGGCTTGGGCGTGTTAGCGTTTTTTCGGAGTTTAGGGTTCAGAGTTTAAGTTAGATAGAGTCCTTTAGGGCTTTGGAGGTTCGTTGCCTTCGGAAGTACCCGAACATGAACGCCCTCTGCCTTAACACGGTAACACCCTAAACCCTGCAACATTCAAGCCCTAATCCTTACACGCTTTTGACGCTATATCGTCAAACCCGATCTGTCGACAGGACGGTGCTGTGTATAGCCATCTCCTATCTCTGCTGGATGAGCAAGAGCAAGTCCGACATAAGATCGGGAGGTTCCCCCGCATTCCGCCGAACTGAGCTTTCGCCATATCTGGGCTTTAGGCTATAGGGCTTCGGGATTGGAGGATCTATGTAAGGGTTTGGTGGCTTGGGAGTCGAAATCTTGCAGGGTTTTAGGGTTTGGGGTGCAGGTTTCGGCGTTTAAGAGCCTTTTTGCTTCTTCGAACTTCTTGGTCATCGTGCGAGTCCTCCTGGTGGTTAGGGGTAGGAAGGGACACTGATACAAACGCTAGGATCCAGTTCGTACCGAGACCACCACGGCCCCAGATGAAAGCATTGCAGATCGCAAGGAAGCTGTAGCATTCCAGAAACCCCATGAAACACAACAACACACATGCCCTTACAGCTCTTCTATGTGATATGGATTGAGGGTTCGGCTTTTCAAGCGTTGACTTTTCCCAGCCTGTCCCAGCCATTAGCCCCATTTCTCAATCCCTCAAGCCATGATACCAAAGCCTTCCATTCAAGCCTTAGGGTGCTTGCCATGCAGCCTGAGTTGAGAGGCTTGCATTGCGACAGCTCAGCACGGAACAGGGTGGGAACTTGACCTCCTTGGCCAAAAAATCTTCAAGTCGGATACAAGTGCCTGACGCACAAAGCTTCAGCCCAACTGCGCAGCTCTTGATATTAAGTCTACTGCCCTACCAAGCCCCTACACGGCCCCTACACTCCGACGCTGTAATCCCTTCAGCCTGGGTTTCTTGCGGCTTAGACTGTATGGCAAAGGGTCGGAGGGGACAGGTGATGATAGGGTAATTGAAACGAGAGGCCTGTGCCTCTATGTTCTCCCGAAACCCTAAACCGTGACAGGACGGGCTCAGCAAATTCAGGTGTGCGGTGAGAATACATAGGGCCGGGGAATGTGGTAACTTATAAGCTGTTGTGGTAGGACGAATTTGCCGCAAGCCCGAAGCTTAAAAGCCTGGAACTCTGAAGCTCAAAGCAACAGCCCTAAGCTCCGGCTATACAAGGTCTACTGTGGGGTCTTATATGGTCACCAATATCATAATAGGGCTCCTGACCATAGTTATAGTATAATAGAACCCCTATTCGATTTATTCAGGCCCCCATATTTGGAGAAGGAATTTTGGCCCGGAAGTCCGATAGCGAGCTATCACCAAGCCATCGATCTGGACTTGCATGGCTCTGGTAAACCTGGAACCCCAAGACCCCGAAGCCCTAAGGCCACTTTTTTGAGGGGCGCAATTGTATATAGGATCCTTGGCGCAAGCCATGACTGCAAGTTCTCTTTTTCAAGGGCAGAAGATAGGTTTCTGAATTTCGGAGGATACATCCAGCTTTAGGCATTGCCATCCAGATGTGAAGACTACGAGTTGTTGTTTCCCAGGTGTTCGGCCGTGGATGCAAGATTTAGAGGGCGACATGATTACCTATACCATTTCTTAGCGCTTTCTTAAAGCCCGAAGAGCTTAGTTTGATGAAAGCATCCCTACCCCAACAATCAATGCACCTCAGCCCTTTAACCGCCCTAATGCATGGACAGTAGAAGAAGAAAGCTGGCCCACACATAGCATTGCGACACTACTTGGAGGTTCATGGGTAGTTATAAGTGGGGTTCTATAAGCCCCCACAAATTGGGTTATAACTATAGTTATCCTACTTATAACCCCACTTATAACTACCCATGAACCTCCAAGTAGAGGCTTCAAGGTCGAGCGTGACAGTTTCAATCCTGGACTCAGCAGAGTATCGAGAGTTGGGGGGTAGAGTTTAGGGTTTAGGGTTTAGGGTAGACCGTTTGTACAGGTTTCAAATCGATTTTACTTAGACCGTATGTAATGTAGAGTTAGCAGCTCATGCCTAGTAGAGCTTAGCACGGTGTCTGAGTTTAGAAGGGGCTGCTGGTCGAATATGGCAAACTCTGCTTTCGGTGTTGGAAGTACCGGGTTTCTCGGCCGCTGCCGAAATCATCTCCATGCGAAGGTAAGTCACGAAAGCAAGGGGTCGACCTATTGCACAATATTGCACATACTTGGAGGATCATGGGACTTAGTAACTGGGGTTCTTACCAGGGTAACTACACTTATAATTACTAGTCCCATGATCCTTTAAGTAGGATCCCCAGCAGCTGGACTACAATTCGTGTCCGCCGAAGCAAAAAAGGTGGCAATGCTGTGCGGTGCACTCGTAACAGTGTTTCTGCCAAACACTTTCCATGCCAAGCATGTCAAGCACAGCGCAGCATAGCATTGGGTTTTACTTCTGATTCTTAAGTGATTCTTAATCAAGTTTAGGTGGAAGGGAAGGAACACCATCCGTCAATCAAACTCTGAAGATCTGGACATGCTGTGCAGCTTGTCTCCCGGTCAGCAAATGGAAACCATTTGGTGGCAGCCTGTTGAAGCACGGCACAGCCATAAATAGACCCCACTCTGCAGTTCTACGGCGGGTTTTATGCTCCATAAGGTATTTTGAACCATCCACAATCCCAGAAATCACACCCTCTAGAAGCCATCTGCGAAGCTGCTAGGGCTTGGGGTCTCTTGAACTACCGCAGGCCTGAAGTCCGACGCACAAGCTTCTCCTTAACATGTAAGGCCCTGGGGACCTCTTCCCCGATTCGACTTCTCACAGAAGCTCCCCAAGAACTATAGCATTGTAGACTTTTCTTCAGGGGGTTTAACTGCTCCGCCGCGTTGGCCTCGTAAAACAACCCACCGCCTCCGCTTCTCCACGGCGGATGTAGCACGCCAATCACAGGCGTAGGGCTTCTGGTTTATCTGTAGTTTCTGTCTTAGTTCCTACAGGTAGTTAGCTATATATTGGGGAATTGCGGAAGATACCGTAAGCTTCACAGGGTCAGAGAAGCTTTTCATGTACCACACCTGAAGGCCCTTGACCGGAGGAGGTCACATGCCAAGTCCAAGCTAAAGCCGAAACCCTTTCCCGCATGCTTCTAAGTCTTTCTCACAAGTAGCGACATCGTATAAAAGCAGTTCAAGCGAACTTGAGCAACACATAATGTAGACTCCTGTTTAATGAAGCCCTTCCCTCAAGGTTTATGATAGGGATCCCTGTGTTACGGCAGTTGAAGAAAGCGGGTTGTTATTCAACGGTTTACCTTTAACCCCCCATTTCGTTTTAGGTGTTCATCAGGGGTTGAACTGAAGCAAGACCGCCCTAGGATCAATGAAGCCAATTCGCTGGGCTTTGGAGTAGCATACTTTAATGCTTCTTTCTTAACAGAACCAAAATGAAATCAAAGTTTATACTTCTTCCTGGTTAATTACTTCAAAGCTCAGTTCAACCCGCAGAAGCCTGATCTCTAATTACCAATGGCTGCCTTGAGGTCGAGTCCAAACAAGAACACCGTCAGCCTCTTCCGGGACCGGGGAAAAACATTAGGGTTTAGGGTTTAGTTTTTAGGGTTTAGGGTTTGCGTCTCTTTTATGTTTGAGCGAATGGGCATGATGAGGGTTTCAGAATGGCTGGGGCCGAACATAAGGGTTGTGGCTTAGTGAAAGCTTCATAAGTGTCTCAGAAAAAAGGCACAACACAGACTTCATCATTTTGGTCATGGCTCTCTCTAGTACGGGCTTCAGTCATGGCTCCCTCTAGTACGGGCTTAAGGAGGGTGTTAGAGCTTTCAGCCGGAGGGCGAACGGTTTAGGCTTTAGGATTTTGGGGTAAGGGTGAGCGACTTTGGATTTAGGGCATCTGGCTTTCCTTTACGGTTCAGGGTATGTAGGCAACCGGCGCCCAACCCGCCGTGCCATAGAAGAAAGGCCGAAGAGACGTGCACCGTGCCAATGCTCGGCACCCTTTAACTCTACCCTTAAACCAAAATTTGAAGCTAACCTCAAGGCCGTACTAAGTTACCAAAAATACAAAACTTTGAGTCCTAACTAGGGACCCAAGAAGGACATAAGCATATACATTTTATGGTGACATCCCTACCTTACTCGACTTCATTTTTTGAGGGGGTATATGGGATATCCCTATCCTTACTTTTTTGCTTATGTGCAACTTTTGGGGTCTCTACTGTACTGTGGCCGATGCAGGAAGGAGCGCGAATCGCACAGCCACAGGCGCTGCCCGAGTGCGCGGGGCTCAGCAGGAAGCGACGCCCTGGAGAGCCCGATCTTTAAGGGTTCCTTTAAAGGGACCTATAACCCTCAGGCTCTAAGGACTCATATAATAAGGTTTTTGGCCCCAAAGACTATAATTACTATACGAGGCTTTTGGGCCATTTTGAGCCTTAGGGTATACTGCCTGTTGGACGAGGAATACCAGAAGGGTCCATCTACCCAAAGAGTATATACCTAGGCAGGGACTGCTTTCTGAACAGGTATATACTATGTGAGTACATGGACCCTCATACAATAGTGTAATGTTTTGGGTTTCAAGGCCTGGAGGGATATGAAAGACTGCTCTAAGCCCAAAATACCTACACTCTAAACTTTTGTAGAAGGCTTGCAGGGACCGAGCAAAGGAGCTTCAAGCCCTCAACCTTTGCAGAACCTTCATGGGATCCGAAGGCATCATACAATGATTCGAGTTTATATCGCATTGTCAATGATATCATTATAACGTATTATAACAAGAGTCTTTTGTTTTGAGTATGTTCCGGTTGCTCTTACTAAGATGGCTATATACTTGAACAAAAATTCATTAATGTGATACGGGTCATAGGCTTCAGGCTTTACCCTTTGGAGGTGGAAGTTCGAGGTGGAGATTATGTTTGCCTTCGTTTCGAAATTGTTGCTCTTGCGTTTGATGCTAAGACCACAGAAGTACAGTTGATGATATAAATCCTGCATTACCCACAATAAGGAATATGCCATAATTCCCATAGTTTAGGGTCCTTAAGGTAATGCATGATTTGTATGATCAACAGAACCATTGCAGCAGCTAGTCGCCGTCGTCATTCTGCCAGTAGGTACCGATGTCTGGGACTGTTCATAAAAGAGAACACCCAGCTACACGTCAATTGGTTGCGCCGGCTATTGAAATCAACACCTACCGTAGCATAGCGCTGTCTAGACTCTAGGGTCTAGGATTTGGGCTTTACACATCCTGCTAACTACTGAAGGAGTTGACATCAACACTACACCCCAATCCCCTATGGTTGTTTGCGGCTCGGCGAGCGCTAGGAGTGCATCTGGGTCGTGGGTATGAGGCTAGGGTTAGAGTGAACATATTGATCCTGGCTTCCTGATGAATTGTTGTGACGAGGATGGTGATCATACACATGATGGTGGGGCTGCTCATGGTGCCGCCACACTGAGCACACCCTATACACTACAGCCTTTGGATCAAGCAGCATTTCCTATGCGCTCCAGTGTAGGGCGTTGTGTGGTTTTGCATCGCTAATTACAGTGGATCGTTTCACTAAAGCCTACACTCTGTAAATTCGATACCCCAACCGCTTCAAACGATAATTGCGCACATCACAACCGTACCTTCACAACCTCATAGAAGCTCGACAGAACTTTAGCTTAGTCAGTTGATGTGTCGTGTCTCCGAGATCCAGCCAGGCTTGATTGGCAAGGCTCTCTACCCGCACCTGTGCTTCAAGAATATTACCGTGCAGGCTGTTGCTGAGGTTCAGGGTTTGGGTTTCCGGTTAGTTAGGGCCTCCACAGCGCAGGGTTTTTTTGCATCGTCCTAAAGCTCAACATGGTGCAAAAGCCGTATAGTGGGTGGGCTTCTGTGCCCAGAAGCAACTAACATGGCAGTATATAATGTATGTGATTGAATCGCATTGCTTTCATGATCCGTTTCTTTAGTTCATGTATTCGCAGAAGGATGTGTGAGGTGCTCAAGTTAGAGTGCCCCTTTCGCGAGGGGGGAGGTTGTTAATGCTACGCATCCTGCTGTTCTGGGACTGCATGTATCAGGGTCCCTTCTGGTCGAAGATTCGCATACTGGAAGGATCCGGGGACTCTGCAGGTACGGTTCAGTGATAAGTATAATTGCAACTTTCCTTGCTAAGCCTCTGACCCTCTAACAAATCCTAGAAGAAGACCGCATAGAGCCCGACAAAGCCTTTCTCAAGTCTTAAGCCTTACCAGTTAAATCCCCGGGTCCTCTAAGCACTGCTTCTTGCACCCTAACGGGCCGATAGGTGAACTTTGGAGCTCCGATGGTGCAGCTGCCCTTCAAGTGCCATGCTTTGGGTCAGGCGCGAGAAGGGCATCAGGGCTTCGGGCTTAAGGCTTGTAGTGCAGACCGCAAACCTTATAAGGCCTACACCTTCTAGTAAGTCCTATAGATCCTGAACACTCAAACCTTTGGTGCTTCGTAGTCTAGGGCTCTCAAGTTTCAGAGCTCCAGGGCTTCGTTTTTTTTTGGGCCGAAGCTTCGGATTGCAGGGCCTCGGTCGGTTTGATATGGAGCCAGGGGCCGGATGCGCTTTGTGGTCTCAGGCCTGTGGGGTTTTAGGTTTTAGGGTTTAGGGGCTTAGGCTTGGGTGCAGTTGTATCTACCAGGGTTTAGATGAGAGACTTTGGGGATTTAAGATTTGGAGTCGGGCTTCGGGATTCATGGAGGGCCTACGAGATTGTTTGTGCCGGGAGGCTTGGCGTATATCATGGAGTGCACAGAGGGTATTCCAATCAATATGCGGTAATCGTGCAGCATGCCTGTCCGAAGCAGACAGAAGAATATTATACTCCCATGTTGGTTAGGACCTCCTAGTATTGAAGTCTATGCCCAACGACCCATCGCATAGTCATAAAAAACGAACACATAAACCAAACAGTGCACACAAAAAGCATAACGAACTAAGTGTGTAAGCGTTTGCATATGTATGTACATGTATATGTATATGTATATGTATATGTATGTATATATATATATATATATACACATGTACATATGTACATGCATATGCATATGCTTTCACCCACATAAATGGCGCACATACATACACACAGGTCTATTTGTATCTATGTACCCTATAAGCCCTTTTAAAGGAGAACCGACTCTGTTCACTTCGGCTTTCAATTCAACGGCTTCCTCTGTCGTAGCCTCCGGGTCTCTAGGGTTTGGCTACGATTTGGGGTTCAGGCTTAGTTAATTTGGGTGTTTATTATTAAGGGTTTATCCGATTAGGGTTTGGCTTCTATGGTTCTTGGGCCCTTTCAGGATTGCTGCAGGGTTGCATACACAGACGTCCTGCTGCATATTGTTGAATTTCAAGATGCAAACCCTAAGCCCCAAGGCCTCACACCCTAAACCCGAAACCGCCAAAGCCTCAAACCCAACATTGACATCGGCCGACTGATTTCTGGGCTGCCCAGGCGCCGGCAATGGACGCTGCACCGGGCTACGTCCTACCGGCGACGTTGGACGTTGAATTGAGGGAGAGCTTCTTTTGGATATGGTGGAGTCCCCAAAACTCCTAAATTTTGAGAACATCTACCTACAATAAATTATAGCAGATGTGTTTTTGATCGCAAGTTTGTGTGTGCATCTGAGGATCCAGATCACCCAGCACCGTTCAGCGTCAAGATGCTTTTTAATCGTGCGATCGCTCAAGCCCCGCTTTCGCCATCCCTGCACCTCACAGGGTTTCGGGCTCATGTGTTGTTTTGAGCAGTAGTGCGGGTTTAGGGTTCATGACGGTTTATAGGGGTTTAGGGTTTAGGACACCTGTTAACCTTGTCAGTCCTGCTGTACTGTGTACAAAGAACACATTGTAACGTGGTTTGATAAGGGGAGGGTGTCTTGACGCCAGAGGCACTCCATTTCGGAGTCCTTATGCAAAGGTTCCTATTGTCTGGGGTTCTATATTGCAGTCCACTGATGTCCGAAGATCCCATCCCTTGAAACAGTTGCATACAGAAACACGGCCTCTACCGCATTTTTCGGCGAGCAGCTGTCCTGAATGTTGAATTTCTGTTTCTTACCGCAAGGACATACATGTGCAGAAACTTTCTAAAATCTTTTTATCTCAGCACATCCACTCTGACAGTTTAAGTATGGTCTTTGTTTACCCCTGACTGTTGAAACTGTAGATCTCGGAGTGGACGGTGCGGTGCTCTTGCTAGTACCTTCTGCATTCCCATGCTGAGCATTAGTCACGTCGTGTAAGCTGTCGGAACCTCGAGCGAGAACACGATACCCATCTGTGTGCTGTCTCTGGCATCTGTTCCCGCAAACAATGGCAACAGCAAGCTTAGAACTAAGCCCATCAACAGGCGTCAACGCAGAGCATGCAACCTCCTAAGCATACCTTCGTGGGATTCTTCCACAAGTGCATGGTTCTACACGCTGAGCCTAATGCCCCCACTCCACGACCCACCAAGAAAAGTGAAGCCCCTGTGCCAGGCCGTACCCAGCGATGGCAAGTACGAGGCCCTCCAAACCCAAAAAACCCGAAACCTTTGTGATGGGTGAGTACATCAAGCAGCGAGGGAGGGGTTCCTAAAATCCAAACCTTAAACCACTAACCCTAAACGCTGAACCGACAAACTCCAAGCCCTACTCCTCAAACTGCAAGTAAACCCCAAACCCAGTCCTTAAACCCCAAGCCCTAAACCTTAAATTCAAAAGTCTGCGCAGGACGACAGATAGTCTCTTCATAAATAGGTTTATATGATATCACCACAACCCTTTTCCAACTATCGAGGTCTTACGTTAAACCCTCAAGTCAGAGACTCCAACTCCTCCGAAGTTGTGCTGGCTTTGTGTTTCGGCTTAGGCGTTTAGTCAGGTGAAGTGCATCGCGATCCTGTCTTCCGACCCTTCTCCCCGACCCTACAGCAACAAGAAGCCCTACACAAACAAGCCTAAAGACTTCACGCACGAAGCAAGCTCTCTCTCTCTCTCTCTCTCTGGGCCTTTTGCAGATTTTGGTCCCCATCGCCGTGCCGGACGAGGGAACATTCGAATGGCTCGATGAGCCTTGGATTAATCAACACACAGCTGAAACAAATCACAGGGTAAGGTCCTGAATCGTCTCATAGGGCTAATTGCAGCCGTGTTCAGGCTTTTGGCAAAGATGCTGCGTGCCAGTGTACTAAGATCGGGACCCCACTCTGGAATTGAGGAAACTACTCGGAAGCTGCTTTGCGCTGCAAAGGTTTTCCATCGCCGTCCGTGGAATGTGAAGGGGTGTTGGGATATCCGTGGCGGGCTCTAGTCACTCATCCCGAGCTCCTCACGACTCGTTCGGCAGTCCTTCGAAGGGAGATCTATCTAAAGGAGGGACCGAGAATTTCATGAAGGATCTGGAATGACATCTTGCCAGTACTCCTAGCGCTTGCTTTTGCTAGCTAGGTTTACGGTTTACCAGTTACGGTCAGGATCGACGCACCCAGGAACAAGGACACTAAAACAAAGACATGCACTAGAGGCAGCCTGAGCCTACAACTTCCCTAGCCACGGGGCTAGCCCATAAGTTCTGGGCTTGCCCGGCAACGGACTCGCTGAACCTCCGCTTCAACCTGACTGACACAAACAGCGCCCATGTCAATGCAGAGATGGTTGTCCTCTGCAGCCGCAGCTTTCGAGAATCTGTCCGATTCCGCTTCCTCAGTATCTCAACCCTCGAGCCATGTTGCAGCGTGCACTTGCTGGGGCTCTTCTGCTCGCGGTGGCAACTACTCTTTGTGGCTGTGGCGAAGAAGTGGTTCACCCAGAGCCTTAGCTTTGCACAAGGTATCATAGTGGTCTTTGTTACGGGTGTTTGTGTTATATGTGTTTTTTTTCGAACTTCATTTTGAAGTCTAAGATTTTAACTCTGAAGCAGTTTGGGGTCGCGCAGCTTAGCCCTCGTACGCAAGCTTCAACGTTGATCACTCAAAAGCCATTGATTGAGGAAGACGCTTTGCATCTTCAAAGGGCCCTGTGCGCAAGTTGAAGTTTCAACGTCTGAAAGCGTAAGTCCCGAACCCTTATTCAACAGCTCTCTGGTTTCCTTAAACCCTAAACTTGCCCTAAACTCTTTGTGAAGGAGTGCTCGACCTTCGATAAGAACGGCGTGGCGCCAGTGACCGACGCGACGACGTGTCGTACCGCCTGCCGGACTTTTTGTCAAAGTTGGGTAACAGTTTTCGTTTTTATGGGTACTTAAACCCAATAAGGAATGAACAATGTAAATTCTAAATCCTATCCCGACCATGAACTAGGACCGCCGAAGGGCTCCGCGAGATCCCCGGCCGCTCTTGGGAGCAAGTTGCCTTTGTCAGTCTATGGGCAGTTGTCATGAATCGCAACAGTAGAAAGAACAATAACGATGATATAGTACATATATGCATTTATGCATACATGCATATATACAAATGTTTGTATATATATACACACACATACATACTCATGTACGTATGTACAGAATTCTACGTCTATATATCTATACGTCTATGTTTGTATTAGCAGCATATGTGTAGAGGCCCTGCAAAAGCTCTGCTCCAGGATCAACGGTCAGCTCCAGGACTGGAAAGGCAGCTCTGGCTCGGGACTCACAGCGGCAGTTGTGGGGATCTTTGGAGGGTTAGGGTCTAAGGTTCAGGGTTCAGGGGTTTAGGGTTTATAGGGGTTTAGGGTTTAAGGCTTAGGGGTTCAGGGTTTAGGGTTTAGGGGGTTAGGGCTTAGGGGTTTAGGGTCTAGGGTTTAGGATTTTGGGGTTCAGGGTGTAGGGAGGGGGGAGGACCCTACTTGCATTGTTATAAGGGTTCCTGTAAAGGGATCTATAGGGATTCTCTAAGGGTAGAGGGTTTAAGGTTCATGGGTAGTCAGAAGTAGGGTTATAAGTAGGATAACTATAGTTATGACCCATCTTAGGGGACTTACAATCCCAAATACCACTAACCTCCAAGTAGACCACCCTAAACCCTAAACCGAGGTCTGGGTCGGGGGGGGGGGTCCTGTGAGGGTTCGGAAAGGGGATGCATTGAGCTGAGGGAGTTAGGGATGTAGGTCTTTTGTTGATGATTTGTGTGGGGGTTTGAAGGGTTCTTGTTGGTCGGCTCTATGGTCATAATGGTTCTTACAGGGGTTCAATGATTAAGGTTCACGTTCAGGGTTTAGGTTCAGCATTTCGAACTGGTGCAGGGTGACACTTCGGAAAGTTCCGGGTTTGTAGTATGCGCTTCGGGGTGTTTTGGTATGGTTTCCGGTGTACAGGGGACGAGGTATCTATCCGTTTAGGGGACCCACTAGAAGTATCTAAGCATGTGCCGTGTTTGTACAGGGTCGTGAGCATCAACCTGCAACCAAGGAAAGTGTGAGTGCGTCACCGATGCGAATGGTGACTGGGATCGAGAGTATTTAGTTGTCGTGCTTTGCTGGATGATACCTCTTGATTCGTTTTGGGCCATACTGCTGCACCGTCTGGAATATGCGAACACGCTGTTTCATGATACTGATGTTCCTTGTGGGTTTAATTTGGTTTTTAGTAGCCGTTGTGCAACCTACTTTTTCCCTGGTTGTTGGGAACTAAGGCAATCGGAGGACGGCGTGCCAGGACAGTGGCTACTCAGCATGATTGGGTTCATCCCCGACATGCAGATATTTGGATTCCCTTGCGAAGCCTCAAGGACTGTAGATCCGGCGCCAATGTGCTCCAGAGCAAGGCAGGCTGTGGTCAAAAAAGGTTGCAGAGTCCGCAGGATGCAAAGGGGTCAAACTTGCTAGATTCTAGATCATGCGCAACCTTGAGCCAGAAACCCTGCCACTCGGCAGAGCAGATTTCTGGGCTCTCTTCAGGGGTGTCGTGTTTTTCCGGGGCTACTAGCATGTCATGTCGTCGATGGGGCCAGGGGCACTACAGATTGAGACTAGCTTCTTTCATTGTTCGAAGATTGGTACCGACTTGTACTCCCCCCTCCGACCACCACTTGCCCCTGCCACACAGAAGTTCTTCATCCGTATGAATGATTGATCCTGCGTTCGAGAAAACTTGATTCTGTGCAAAGGTTTTCCGAGCGCAGGAATCAAGCAGTCTACTCTGCTCAACACTGCAAGACCCATGATGCTGCTGTTGTTTCAAGGTTTGCATATTGCTTACGGCCTTGTATATAGCTTGCATCTGGAGTCTCGCCCTTCTGCAAGGAAGGAGGCGGCAAACATAGGATTGGATATTGGCCTACAGTATGGTTACTGATGCTACGATTTCTGATGCCAAGCATCAGATATCCTCTAGCCCCACAGAAGTAGGCGAAAAGTATCTTCACATTCGTCACATTTTTTGCAACAGCATCTGTTGTTGAAATTACGCTTACTACGCTATTAGCACCCCATCAGCCCTAAACCCAAGCCTCCAGAACCTTTGTGTGGACCTGGACATCGCATCAACTGCATGACCCAATGAGGGCACCCAACACAGGCAATGCATGCTCGAAGGGTGTAATATAGGGGCCTGACTAATTTGGGATTCCTTACTATGTTTCTAGTATAATATACCCCAAAACCCTATTCTAATTATTTCGGCCCCCATATATACTACCTGCTTGAAGGGTGTAGGGCCAGGGCTTAGAGATTGAAGGAAGAAGATAGAGGGAAGTAAAGCTTAGAATGCCTTGCCAACATCTCCAACCTGCACTACGCCGTCTCTTGCATGCCCCCATATCCCAAGCCAAGGATTTCCTGACCAAGAATCCGAGGCTGGTCGGGTGCATAATTTTGGGGTTATGACCCGCGGTACTTATAATGTACATGCATTAAACGCTAGATCCTTAAAGTGGGGTAGCCTTGTTGCATCCGCAGGTGGAGATCTGGTATCGGGAGGGGCTACCAAAGATGATGGTTTGGAGTTTGGGGCTTATAGCTTAGGGTTTCAACAGGATGGCTTGCCTTGCGTGGTCTAGGGTTGAGGCTTTAGGTTTAGGGCTTTCAAATCTTCAGGAGCCGAAGCACCAAGACTTTGCCTGGCTTGCCCCTGGTGGTGTGGGGTCCTTCAGGTTGGGTAACCTACCCTAAGGGTTCATGTACCCATATAGAGATACATGAGCCCCATAGTACCTATATAGGGACTACATTAAGACCAATGTATCTACTATATGGGTACATGGACCCTTAGGGCTAGTGGTGAGGTTTCACATCAGCTTGCTTGAGGGTTGTGGGGCCTTCTGGTCAGCCCAGTCTGCAATGGTGCATTTGGATACCCAATGGCAGGCTCTTCTGGGTGTTGGAACCTGGGATTTGTCAAGTTGATTCTATTGTCTGCTGTTGGGTACTGCCCCCACTCAGTAACAGCTGGATAATATTCATGATGTAGATATATATTAGGACCTTAACAGTAGACTGTTACTGTATGGGGGGGGCAGTACCCAAGTTTGCTGCTCTTTCGCGTCCTGCAGGTTCGTGGAGCTGTCCGACAGGGCGATCGGAGAGCCTGCTACCAAGCAGACTTCGCACATGTCTTCCCCTTCAACTTCTATTTGTTCTTGTTTGGGTAACATTTTACGTTTTTTGGGTACTTAAACCCAATAAGGAATACACAATTAAATTTTTCATCCTACCCCAACCATGAACTAGTTAACTACTTCTGTTCGGAGCAGAGATCAGGTGTTCACTTCAGGGTCTCGTTTTTGAGTTCGCAGTGCCCGATATGTGCATGCATATGCCCTAGGCCTATCGGCAGGCGACTTTCTGTTCCCCTGGCTACGTTGTCAAGTCTTCTGGCTGAAAGCACCGCCAGAATACAACCACTAGGACACTAAGAACCCCAACCCGAACGATGTATATGTTCCTATAGGCCCCAGAAACGAATCATGCTTGGTCTGGTTCCGTTTCAAAAGCCCCACATTCGGTAGAGCCAGATTTGCGATCCAGTAACAGTTTTAGACCCTCGAACATCCTCCAACTCGACGAGGACGGCTCTTAATCCATATTTGAGCCTACGGGCAACTTTGCAACCCTACAGAACCTTAAAAGAACCAAGCCATCTAAGTTGGGCGGAGCGCTCTGGGGTCTTCCGCAACAAGACCTACAGCTGGAAGCACTGCAACGCCCAGCGCTCAGCCAGTCGATGGAATGTTCTAAGCATCCTCTACATGCTCACGCCTTCTTCTAGCCGTAGCCTGAACCCATAAGCAACACCAAAAGCTCGCGAGCGCTAAACCTCAGACTATTGTCCACAGCGTGCACCACTCGGATGGGAAGCTTACCTCTAAGTTTCAAGCCCTGGCCTTCATTATCAAGGTTCTTTCTTGCGTGTCTTGTTGTGGTATGGTGTCTTATCAATAAATAGATCTCCAACAGTATGCGTCGCTTCTTACATCAAAATGGGAATGGAGTCCCTAAGCCCTAAACCCTAAACCCACCCTAAGTCCAAAACCTTATAAGCCCAAAAAAGCCATGTTGGAAATCTGAAACCCGAACCTCCTCCTGTAATCCGAGATTTTTTTAAATCTTCAACTACCTACCGATCTGGGATGCAATCGGACTTGGCATCTCCCTTTCTCCTTTCACATAGTAGCCTGAAGAAGATTATGTGGGGGCTTGAAGAATTGCCAATGCCCTTCTTCTAATGATATTGTTATACGGATCCGTTCGGAAGGCCCAGACCACGACCACGATTGGAGAGGGTGTGGTGTAGGGCTTAGGATTTCGATTTTTGGAATCATAGAACGTATAAGGGCATTAGACATTTTTGGACTTTAGAGTTCTGACTGCACTGTGTTGTGGGATTCAGGCCCGAAGCGCTGAACCACAGCCTTGAGCCTTTATTCCTGAAGCCGTTTAGTTAAAGACTGCATACCCTATAAGTCGAAACCCTTCAGAGCACACAAAAAGGTCAGGAGGCTTAGCACGTAGGTTATGGAGAAGCTCACTGAGTTATCAGCATTCATAACTCGCTTCTATTAAGTTACTTGAAACCTTCCTTACCAAGCACGGGGCAAGGATAAGCCAGATCTTCAGACCGGTCTCCCTTTGCTGGACGACTGGAGCGTCGCGGCCTTACGGCTTCTGGCTCGCTCGACATGCTTGTGAGTATCTGTGCCACTTTCTATGTGGTTGCGAATGGGCTCTAGACCGCCTTGCTTGGAGGTTTAAGGACTGGCTTCAAGCGTTCGGGGTCTAGGCTTTGTTTGGATCTTCGATTGCCGTAGGTTGGGCCACTGTGACTATGCGCTGCAGTAACAGCATCTCACGGGGGACTGTTTGGACCCTGGCATACCTGCGACGGTCCTTGGTCGGAGCCGGTACAAGTATACCTGCATTCAGCAGTGAGCACAACTAATAAGAACTTACAGACAGCTCAGGACGGCTCACACACAAGATACTGTGAATAATCGGCCCTAGACCCTAAACCGAATATCCTATGAAGAAGCTCCAGACCAAGCCAACCAACCACAATTTCTGAGGTGAGGAAGATCCTAAGCACCGTAGCCCCCACGCAGCCGCGGAGCTACGTGGCCCGGGTCCCGGCGAGCCTTTCTTGCGGGCTTTTCGGGCTGTAAGATTTGTTGGGGGTTGGGAATTCCTTCAAGAGATCAAGGGATAAGGTCCGGAAGTATCTCTTCTGGGTTCAATGAAAGGCTTTGGGTTTGGAAGTTGGAGGTCTACTCTAGGGTTTAGGCTTCGGGGCTTTTGCAGGACGCAGTTCGAGAGTTAGGGGATCAGGAGTGAGGGTTGAGGGTTCTGCTTTTGGATGAAATCACAGGTGAACGGGTTACTTTGTAGGGTTCAACGAGCGAATAGTCTTGGATGGGTCAAAAGGCGGTCTAGTAGAAGGGATCTGGGAGCTGCGTCAGCACTTGTTTTTCAATGCGGGTTTCATTGTCCAACTAATCAACGACTTTGCTTCACACGGTTTGCTTCAGATTTCGGATTGGGTTAAGCCGGTTGCACGTTGTGGGTTCATTCCTCAAATCAAAGTAGACAAGTTAAACCTTGAGTCATACGGTTGATGATATTAATCCTGCATTACCTTAATGACCCTAAACTATGGGATTATGGTATGGTACATGCCTTATTATGGGTAATGCAGGATTTACATCATCAACCGTAACATGAGCTGGGAGCTGGGAGTGATTTTGAAGTACTTGAGGGTCCAGGTTTCGAGGGGAGGCTGTTCAGGGCTCAGGTGTTGTTGTGTTTTTTTCGTTTGAGCTTAGAGCTTTCGAGCATAGACAGGTTCATCTTGCTTGCAGATTTCTCCGCAGGCGTGTGCAACAGAGGGACCTTATTGTACTGTGGTGCGTCAGGTCGTCTAGGATGCCCAGTAGTATCCTTATTCCCTTTTTTGTAGTCCTAGGTTCCTTATAAAGTTAACCAATCCCAAAAAGGGAGCCCTTTTTGTTCCTAGGTCAGTGGGCATCCTAGCCGTTTGAGGCGAACAGCCAGATTGGGGAGAGTGCTGATTCCGGCGATCCTGAAAGATCCAGGTCTTAGTAGCTGAGTGGATGCACTTGGCACTTTTTGCTGCAATGTTACCCACTATAAAACCAAAAGTGTACACTTTTGGGGGCTTCTGAACTCAGCAACTACGTGGTAAAGTGTACAGTACACAGATAGGTGGTTGTCAAAATTAGGGCCCTT